ATCCCCGACGACCGTATGCAACAAGCCCCGACGATCTTCGGGGACATATCCCCGACGACCTTCGGGGCTTGTTGCATAAGGTCGTCGGGGAGACGCCGTCGGGGATGAATCCCTCCTAGTCTCGACTAGGGGGATTCATCCCCGACGGCTTCGGTCAGTTCAGACTGTCGACGCATTAGGCATTGTTCACAGTTTTGGAATCATCGAATATTCGAATTCGCGAAAAGAATTACATACGTATCGACCATGAGAATCTGCGCACGCGCGAACGCGGATGCGAAAAGGTTTAGATGCGTATCGACGTAGTCAACTCCGTCTCAGCGTTTCGCGTCGAGGCTTCGAAAGCGCGAAACGATGCGCCGCCTCCACTTGATCTGATCAATAAGCATACACCTCGTTCAAGAAGGATTCGTAGATTCGAATACGCGGTTCAAAGCCCATCCCGTTTTGTGAATCGATATGCACTTAATTCCTTTCGCAGATACGCAGATTCGTTCGTTTGGCGTCCTTCGGCTATGTCTTCGGCTGTGGAATGTTACGTATATCTCCCAATCTGCGCCTGTGCGATTGCAAAGCGCAGGCGATTACAGTACTCTCACGCTTCCGCTATCGGTCTAGTTCCGCTATCGCTGCCGCCCTTCCGCTCACGAGGCTCTATGTTGAGTCGACATTGTCTTTTTATTTTTGACGAGTCACCTTTGGTCTTATCCATTGATTTATTTATCTTGGAGATGCGCATTTTCAGTCCGGCGCCGCCTCTTTGTAGTCGCCCAATAGTATTACTGAGGAACTTTGCTGCGTGTTACACTTTATTGAAAATGTCACTTCGCATAAGGGAAAACTCGTGCTTCAATTGGTGCTGTTGCTTTGGACACTTTTCGTTACATCCCAAGTTCTATGCCAAATTTTTGGTTCTAGAAATCTCCAAAAAGGTGAACATGACCTTTTTTCTCTTTTCTGGGATACAAATGCAAGTTCAGGATTCAAGCAAGCAGGAATGGTTCAAAATGCTCTACAGAAGATACTAGTAAAACTACTCCGTCTTTTCCAAACTGTCCGGGAATGATGATGCAAACGACAAATGTGCAAGAGATATAGAAGTCGTAGACAGTGAGAAAGTCGCTAATGTTACTTTGCACTATTTACTGCGTTTTTTCATTCAATAATTGCTCTGTTCAGTTCTTATCACTTCTTTGTTGGCTCACGTTGGGGGGGATAGGTGAGAGAGCGTCTTACGCGAAGAGCGCAGGGGTACGGTGTGTTAGGACAGAAAGCGTTTCTTTCTTGCTCCTCGCTGAGCCACTTTTTCGCTGAAAGGACCTGGGTGTGGTTTACTAGTAAAGAGACTTCTTCGCTGTTTGCAGCCCGAAACGTCATCGAGTTTTAATTTGAGGACAGGCGCACAGAGGATCAGCATTATTCTTGATAACTCTTTCAATTGTCGTCTGTAATTACATTGTGCCATTAGTGAATGTCATCTTCTCGGAAGGGCCCTCTCGCCTTCACGGACCATGAGTAATAGATGGTGTCTCTATGGATCATGTGTTGTTTTCTCAACAGTTCACGATTAACGTTTGCTGTCGTGTGGGGGATGATAACTAACTGACTGAGGTAACTAGCTGGAGTCA